CCCTCTGGGTACCCTCCCCTCCCCCCACTCAGTGCCTATTAAGTAACAATCCCTTTCTCTTTGGGTAGGAGAAATACAAAGCTACTGTGTTTAAGCTAAGAATAGCACAAGCTACCACATGCTTACAATATGCTGGTAGGTGCTCTGCTAAACCTTTTGCATGGGTTATCTTACTTAATCCTTAGCCCAGCCTCGTAAGGTAGGTGTTGTGCTCTGTATTTTGTAGTTGCTAAGTAACTTGTCCAAGATCTTACCGCTACTAAGTGATGGTGCTGGGGTTTGAACCAGGATTGACTTGCTCTGACTCAGAGGTTCCCAGCCAGTGTGGGTTATGTGGATCAAGATGGTGATCCCTTCAGCCTGCAGGTGCCTGGGTCAGGCACAGGACGGCTAGGGTCCCATGTTCTTTTACCCCCGAGTGTCGTACAAATGGTTCTGTCTGTGTTGTGCTGTGAAAAAGCCTGAGATGCGTTGCTCTAACCATATTAATTGTGCCCCCTTACTGTCCTCTCAGCCGAGACTCTTTGCTCCCTCCCTCCTGGGGTCAAGTGTGGGTCTAGACACCCAGACCCTTAACACATGTGTGGCCAATAGGATTGAGGCCAGAGATGGGTGGGAGCTCTGTGCTCACTTCTAGGTGCCATGTGAGCTGAACAGAGATGCAGGGTCCCTGCCTTGAGTAGACACTGCCAGAGGTCAAGTCCAGAAGACAGAGGTCTGCACCAAGTCCAGAACTCAGGGACTTTTTGTTGGTTTGGTTTGGTTTGTTTGGACGGAGCCAGAAAACATGGGGGTGGGTGGAGGGGCTGCTGACAGGGACGGCTTGAATCTTGACACCATCGGCTCAGCGTGACCCTGCCGTGTAGACACAGTCCTTCGGCTCCTCGCAGGCACGGGAAGCTGCTGACACGTTGCGGCCATCAGCTGCCGCTGTTACCGTACACATACAGACGCCCGGCGGGCCAGGCTGTGCTGCCGGCTGCTTGCGGAGACTGGCCTTGCCCTCTGCCTTCACTGGGCTGGTGTGCAGGGTCGCCCATCTCTCCAGGAACCCAGAGGTTGCAGCAAGAAGCCCAGACGAGGTTGCGGGCACAGTGGGCGGGCTCCATCGCTGCCCCTCATGCTTGTGGGGGATGGGAGGCTCGCTCTGGCTCTGGGCATGTGTGGGTGTCTGCTGCCTGGGGCGCCTGTGAACCTCCGTGCAGGGGATACTTCTGGGTGTGAGTGATGGGCCCCTCCTTGGTCTGGCCAGGCTTCAGCTGCTTTGTAGTGGGTGGAACTGGGGAAGGCTGAGCTGGCGGGGAGCCTCAGCACCATCTCTTTGTGATCCACCTCCTTTTGTGGTTGATGGTATGTACGCCATGTTGAACCATGTCCTGCCATAGAGTGCCCTGCCTCCTCCCTTCAGCCCCGTTGTTGCCTCACTGAGCTTCCCTGTGAGGGCCGGTTCTAAGGGAACTGGTGCTAACTTAGGAGGGTAGCACACGGAATAGTTGACAGATTTAAAGCTCCAGAGACTTCTAAGGCAGGACAGCTGAGTTCCTGGAGAGCTGAGCAGTAGGCCCAGGAAACACCCAGGCAAATGGCTGCCCCTTAGCCAGACTGGGCCCAGGCCCTTCACCCCAGCCTGAGGAGCAGTGTCTCTGGAGGGCCCTGGCCCCAGGTCCTTCTAGACCAGGGTAGCCAGAACTTCCACTTCGTAGATCTCACCATGAAGCCGGGATCCCTCAAAGCAGCGTCCCCCACGGGAGCATTGGTGGGCCGTTTGCAGGTGTTTCTCTGGAAGGGGACCCATGAGGATGATGTGAGGGTGGGGCACATCCTCCCTGTGCCTCAGTTGGGGGGGTGGAGGGGTGGAGGACGGGAGGGTCTGTCCTAGGAGGTTTGTCTTTGCTCACCCCTCTAGCGAGCCTGAGGCAGCTTCCACATTTTCCGGGTCTGCCTGTCACGCTGCTTCCTTTGCTCCCCCGGCCCTGGGTGGCAGCAGTGGATGTTCAGGAAGGGAAACAGCCTTGCTCCCACTTCCCCTGCCGGCATCTTTTCCCTCTCCCGGCCCGTCTGCTCCCATCCTTCTGTCAGCCTACATCTTGGAGCAGTTCCCAAGCCATTCGCTTGCGCTGAATCCCGAGTGGGGCGGGTGGGGTCAGGCTGAGCCCACTCATTGTCTGTGCCGCAGCTGCTCCCCACAAACTGTCGTCTAGACCATGCCTGTGCGGAGGCGTCCGGGCGGCGTCTACACAGATACGATGGAGCCTCCGTGGTGCTCTCCAGGGAACCAGGAAGACAGGGGGGCTTAGTGCTACAGGGAGGACAGCAAAGAGGCCAGAAGGGATGTGAAACCAGCTTAGCTCCCAGGGCAGGGGCAGCTCCCACACAGGTCTGCTGACCCAGGGAGAGCCATCTCCCGCTGGAGGGAAGGCGTGGGCCAGGAGCTGGGGGTGCAGTGGTTTCATACGCACACACACACACGTATTTTTTTTTTCCTTGTGGAATTTTTAGTGGTGGGGAAAGACATTAAGCATACAAACACACAAATACATAATCACAACATATGGAAAGTGCTATGAATAGAAATTCCACGATAGAGTAACTGGGACCCAGTGGTGGGGGAGATAGCAGGGAAGGCTTTTCTGAGGAGGTGATATTTAAATTGAGAGGGATGCAGAGAAGTTAGCCAGGCAAAGAGCAGGAACACTGTTGCGGACACATTACTGCCCAGCTTTTTAAGATTTTTCTAGAAGCAGTTTCATTCTTCCGTGCTTTTGTATGGATGACTTAGAATCTGTTTCTACCATAAGCCTCTTTGGCAGAAGTCATGGCCGAGCCTGACTAGCTTCTGCTCCATCTGGGGACTGTCACGGCCTACTGAGTTATGTGGTCCTAGTTACTCTCAGAATGAAATCATGGGTCTGCTCCTCAGTGGCACAGCTCTGAAAACAAATTGGGGCTTGATGGGAGGCAAGCCTGGTAGATTGGACTAGAGGTGTGCCAGGCTGTCTCTCCTGCTTTCCATTTCACTGCTGGAGTCAGTCTCCTGGGGTCTGAAATAAGGGCCAAAAAGGCAGCATATGAAGACTTAAGCTAACTAGTGAATATGCACCTGTCTCAGAGTAGAAAGGGGCAGCCTTCCAGGAATAACAGCCAAACAAACTAAAGGAAAAGAGAACTATTTAACTACGTAAACATTTAAACTTTTTTTTTTTTAAGATTTTATTTATTTGTCAGTGAGAGAGAGAGAGTGTGAGCACTCAAGCACAAGCAGGGGAAGGGGCAAGCAGGGAGAAGCAGGCTCCCAGGACCCTGGGATCATGACCTGAGCCAAAGGCAGACACTTAACCAACTGAGCCACCCCAGGCGCCCTTATTCTTACCAGGGAGACTGTATAGATATTTCAAGTGACGCTACAGGATACTGTCATGTAGGGATGTTAATGATTTTTTTTTTTACAGCTTTCCTGAGATATATTTCACCTACCATAAAATTTACCCTCATCATGTATTTTAGGTGGGAGAAAAGGAAGCTTACAAAATGGTACCACAGTGTGGTCCAAATGTTGGTAATAATGAAAACTAGAAGCGTGCTCACGTGAGCATACAGGAAAGTCTGCTCGAATGTTAACAGTGACTACATCTGGATGCTGAGATTATGGGTACCTTGTGTTCTTATTTTTGCATATCTGTATTTTCTAATGTTTCTGCAGGGAACGCTAATTACTTCTGTATGAAGAAAAAAATTATGGAAGTTTAGGGTTCAGTGTCCCCAAGCCTTTCATGGAAGGATAAAGCCTGCACTACTAACTTGGCCATCAGGTCCCCCAGATCTGGCCCTTGTCCCTCCCTCTGGGTCGCCTCTCGCCACCCCTTGCTTCATGCTGTACGCTCCAGCAACACAAACTCCTTGGAGCTTGTTGCTTCTGTGCCATTTCTTACCCGTGTGGGTTTGCTCACTTGGGTCCCTCTGCCTGTCATGACCTTGCCCCTTACCCGGCCCATTCCAGTATCACCTCCACAGGGAAGTTTTCCCTGAGCTACCTGAGGGCCAAGGGCCCCTCCACAGGGCCGGGCAGCCGGCCTTCCCTGGGCATCCCTGTGGCCCTCTGCCCTCCCTCCTTGCCCCATGTCCAGGACACTGCCTCCCCGAGCTGTTAACTGTAAGCAGCCAAAAGGAGCCACTCTCTTGTCTTATTTAATCCACATCCAGAGGTTATGTTCTAGAATCTGGCACCTGTGTCCATCTTTCATCTTAACCCTAGAGGAGGCAGGGATTTCCAGGTGGAGCCAGGCGCTCAGTGACCTCCATCAGGGCCCTTTCACTGGCCCTTAAATGCACAGTATATGCTTTTCGTAAAAGTAATTAAAGAAAAAATTGAAAATAGGACAAAGAGAAGAGAAAGTAGATCCCCCCCATTGATAACTCTGGGTGTTCTTCCATAAGAGAGGACCTAAGAGTCGGGAGTTTGAGAGAGGAGATCCCCTGGGCAGCCATCCTCACAGTTGGTGGGCCTGGGAGGCCCCCAGCTGCCCTCCCCACCGTGCCCCAGAGATCAGATCAGTGGGGGTGCAGGGGGACCCAGGATTCAGTACCTCAGGCCACTCGGCTGCAGGTGTTTGGGGGAAAGGCCTCACTTTGGGAACAGTCGCTTCCAGGCCATCTCCCCTCTCTGTCTCTGGGGTGGTCTCTTGGGGACCCCAGTTTGCATCTGCACAAAGCCAGTGCCATCCTCTCTGCATTTGACTGGCACCTTTGAGACGGGCTGGCTGCCCCCTCCATAGCCAGCGTGGGTGGCCTGGAAGGACATCCCCCGTGAGCCCCTGATTAATGCCAAGGAAAGGAGCTGTGGCTCTTTGTCACTGGGAACCTTCGATGCTCCTCCGGGAGGGGGAGGAGGTGGCGGCAGCAGCTGTGTGACGCATCCCCAAGTCAGAGACTTGCAGGCTCCGTTCGCGTGAGGAAACTCGCTGACTTGCTCAGTGAGAAGGGCTCTTCTCTGTCTTGTCTAGAGCTGAGAATGAAGCGGAGAGCATCGGACAGAGGAGCTGGGGAAACGTCATCCAGGGCGAAGGCTCTAGGAGGTGGCATTTCTGGAAATAATGCAAAGAGAGCTGGACCATTCATCCTGGGTAAGCCTCTGCCCGCCGGGTGGGCTGGGCTGCGGGGGGCAGGGGTGCGGGCGCAGGCGCAGTCCGATGGGCAGCCGTGCAGGGCGGAGTGCCACACCCACCACAGTGCACCGTGCGGGGGCCCCAGCCTCGGGGCTCTAAGTACAGCCCCTTTGTGCCAGTGGAAGATCCAGAGCCTTAGGTCACAGGTCACGCTGTACCCGAGTTGTCATTTTTGTTGTAGCCTCGCCAGCCTTCGATCAGCTCCAGCTAAGAGCTAGACTGTCTCTTCCCCCAGAGCACCCCATTTGCCCCCCAGCCCATGGCACACACAGGCGCACACAAGCTGCATCAGAACCCAAGGCCCATCATCCAAGGCATTTCTTTGACCATTCTTGGAGGGCACAATTCATTCCACAGGGCATCTGGTATAGCCCTCCAGATTTCTTGTAAAATTGGCACAGAAGCCCTGCGGAATTAGGTGTGCCCGGTGGTCCAGAAGAGCAGCAGGGCCTTTCTGCGTGACGTTGGAGGCCCAACAAATCGGGGTTGCTGTGCTCAGGGTTGCAGGGGTGAAGTGGGCTCTGAGGACACCGGAGACTGGTTATGAGTTTTGCTTTGGGGCGGCGTCTCGGACTTCTGGGCACAGGGACAGCTCCAGCCCCAGCCGTTGGGCAGATAGTTCCCGGCGCCTACCGTTTGCCAGGCCTGGGCTGTGTGCTAGGGGCGCAGCAGTGAACGGGACAGACAAGTTCCGGCCCTCACAGAGCTTAACATTCTAGTTGGAAAAAGAAACAGAGTAAACAACGCACAAGATCATCAGCAGGGCGGTAAGTGCCTTGAAGGAAGTAAACAAGACGATGTGAGGGTGGGACGGGTTACAGGGAGTGTGTACAAGGAAGGTTCCACATGAGGAAGTGATATTTGGGCTGACTCCCAAGGAGGAGAAGGATCCAGCCATGTGAAACGCAGGGGGAGAGCATTCCACATGGAAGAAACAGCAAATGCAAAGGCCCAGAGGCAGGAAAGGGCTAAACAAGTTAGTACTTAAGAGCCCAGTGTAGCTGGAATATTGGCGAGGGGGTGGGGGATCATAATCAGTGAGGTGGGCAGGAACCAAACCACACAAGGCCTCAGAAGCCAAAAAAGTTTCGACTGTGTTGAGGGCAGTGACGCTGTGACCTTGTGTGACTTCCGCTCTGAACGCTCAGGCGGGATGCCGGCAAGGGACAGCGAGCAGTGTCCACCTCCGGGAGTACAGAAGTTTCCCAAACCTGGGCTCCGACGGGGTCCAGGCGGCCACCTCAGACGACCGGGGGGGCTCCCAAAGCTATAGTTCCTCAGCCCGGAGGTGCTGATTCAGAGGCTCCAGGTTGCCGCTGGGATCTCTGCTTTTACCACTCGCTCCTCGGAGGTTCCATGACACCCCCACTGTTGAAAACCCCTCCCTTTGCAAGCCGGGCCTGTAAAAGCCAGGTGTACCTCAGGCGCGTGCGCACATGCTTCTCCATTGTTGGAGGGGAGACTGAGAACCCTCCACCAGAAGACTTGGGGGGGAGGTCACTCCGTGGCTGTGAACTGTGGGAAGACCACGTGGTGCCACGAGAGCGGGGCTCGGAAAAGTAAGCCCGGGGCTCTGTGTGCCGTAGGTCCCCGTCTGGGCAATTCCCCGGTGCCAAGCATTGTGCAGTGTTTGGCGAGGAAAGACGGCACCGATGACTTCTATCAGCTGAAGGTGAGTGAGGCGCCCAGGGCGGGGTTGGCTCGGGCCCCAGGGGCTGGCCGGCCAGCCTGCTCTCCCCTCCTCGCCACCTTCACACCCACACCACCTGCGAACAAGACTAGCACCGTTTCTTCCCGGGAGGCAGCCGGGCTCACGCAGCCTCGCTCTGAACAGGCCTGCGCTCAGAGCAGGAATCACACTGCCGTCACGTTAAGAAAAACCTCGAACGTCACACGTGCCTGTGGGAGTGTGCGTGCAGGTGTTGCGGGCCCGACCGCGAGCCCCGTGCTCTTCCTGCTCACGTCATTCTGCTTTGTAAAGTAAGGTTTCTTTTTTGGGTTTTTGGTCTTTTTGTGTGTGTGCCTTCCTAAAGATCCTTACCCTTGAGGAGAGGGGGGACCAAGGAATAGAAAGCCAAGAGGAGAGGCAAGGCAAGATGCTGTTACACACCGAGTACTCTCTGCTCTCCCTCCTCCACACGCAGGACGGCGTGGTTCACCACCATGGGCTCTTCCAGGTGAGTGGCAGAGGGGGCTGCCTGTCCCCCCCCCAACCCCCTACCCCTGGCTGGCTCCTGGGGCTGGCCCCTGCTGGGGCCACAGCCGTACTTGGAGCAGCTCGCCCACGCGACTGCCTGGGAGCCCTGCATGCTGGGTGCGCCAGGACTTCCTGGGGGGGCTGGGCTGGCGGTCAGGCTCTGGCCACACCAGCTGCTGCAGCCCCCCTGCAGTGAGGCTCGCTGCCCAGCGGGAGCGCCCCTTTCTTTGGAGAGCCGCTCTTCCGAGAAGGGAGGAAAGCATGAAGTCATTTAAAGACGCCTGGGCTCTTTCCTGTTGTGTCGTGTCAGGATGGGCCAGGCCAGGGTGGAAGGGGGGCAACGAGGAGGGATGAGCGTTGTGGGCCACCTGTGGATCCCACAGTTGGTGTTAGTACTGACAGTCCTTTTGCCTGCCCAGGCATCCCAGTTAGTTGAGCAAGTATCCTCGGGGGTTCCAGGTCTCTTAGGGAATGTACTAATGAGTAACTTGTACCCTGAAAAGAGCCCTCCTCGGGGCCAAACCGAAATTGTGTCTCCAGAAATGAGGAAGGCCTGGTTCAGGACGCTCAGGAGGCCTCCTGCTCAGGCCCCCAGCAGAGCTTCTGCAGGGCCCTCGGCTAGACAAGCTGGCCAGGGCCACTCTTGCCCGATGGACCCGGCACTTGAGAGGCAGTGTGGGGGCAGGGAGCCACAGAGGTTTGGGAGCCGGCGGCCCTGGAGTCAGGTTGTGTGACCTCGGGCAAGTCACTTCCCGTCCCTACACTTCAGGTTCCTCATCTGTAAAATGGAGGTAGTGATGGACACCTGCCCCACGAGGTGGTCGGGAAGGTGAGCGGGCGTGTGTGCAGCCTGAGCGGTCCCTGCACATGCTCATCGCGTTACTTCCTTGTCAGCTTGAGTTCTTGGGCTAGATAAAGGGAAGATGCCCCCCCACCCCCCGCACACCCCACCAAGGTCTTTATTCTTAGATATGTGATTAGAAACAACTCTGAAAATCAGCATTTCCCTTCCACATGAAACCAAACCGAGGGTAATCATGAGTCTTCAGTGCTTCATCTCTGACAGCTGCCAGAGCTTGGCCCTGCTTTGTATCCTCTTGGATAATAGAAGCTGGGTGATTAGAAGCATTTCTAGAGTCACCTGTGTGCCAGACACCGCTGGGCGTCTGGGGAAGAGAGAATGAGACGTGTGGTCACGCTCCGAAGGAGAAACGTGGCTCTTCAGTCCCCAGGAGTTCCCCGGAGGCAAGCGTCGGTCTGCTGGGGCTGACACTGAGCATCTCCCCAAGCTGGCTCATCGGTAGAGCACGCAGCTCTTGATTTCGGGGTTGTAAGTTCAGGCCCCACGCTGCTTGTAGAGATTACTTTAAAAAAGAAAGAAAGAAAAAGAAATGTCTTTTCCGCAAGGAAAACGGGCCCAGCACTTAACACCGCGCGCTGGTAGCAGGACCCACCTCCTGAGCACTGGCATGGGTTCCCGTAGTCTCTGGACAACCTGGGAGGGAGGGTGCCGGCTCCCTTTGACAGATGAGGGACCGGAGACTTGGAGAAGTGAGGTGAACTGCCCCACGTCCCACAGCTGGAATGAGCAGGAGCTGGGGCCTGAACCCTGCCTTACCCACTGTTCCGTGGCTGCCCAGGAGTTCGGCTCCCATGTGAAAGCAGTTGTCTTGGACACACAGAACGCCTCACTTCTACTATCTCGGACCTTGGCCATGGCTGGAACCTCTGGGAGTGCCGCGGAGTGGGGATGCCCCAGGGCCCCGGCTCTGCTGCCCGTACCCTGGACCCAGAAGTCCCTTTGGCATTACAAATGCTCAGCCCTGATCCGAACCCTTTGCATTGGGATCGGAGCACGAAGCTTTAACGTCAGCCCCTGGTCCAGGCTGCCACCCCCGCACATGTGCAGCTCGTTCCAGGCTTTGGCGTTGGTGTATGTCTCCAGCTGCAGAGGAGACTCCCCGACCCCCGGCCCTGGACCTGCGGGCCCACACCAAGCCCTGGTCCGCCCCCTTGCCTCCCAGGACCGCACCTGTGAAATTGTCGAGGACACAGAATCCAGCCGAATGATTAAGAAGATGAAGAAGCGCATCTGCCTTGTCCTCGACTGCCTCTGTGCGCACGACTTCAGCGACAAGACCGCCGACCTGATCAACCTGCAGCACTACGTCATCAAGGAGAAGAGGCTCAGCGAGCGGGAGACCGTGGTCATCTTTTACGACGTGGTGCGTGTGGTGGAAGCCCTGCACCAGGTGAGGCCCTGCCCCCCCCCCCCCCCGCCCAATCCCTCCTCCTCTAGCTGGCCCGTCCTGGGCTTCCAGTGACCGAGAAGCCTCCAGGCTCCACTGCCACAGAAGGCCACCCTTCTCACCGCTGCTCCGTGGAAGCAGCTCTGGGTGGTCTGCAGGTGTGCTCTGCAGCTGGAACGTCCAGAAGGAAAGTGGCTAGATGACCTGTGTAGCCAGCGAGGCACAGGGCTGCAGGCCTCAGCCCAAGTGCCTGGGAGGCGCTGCCCGGGCCGCCCAGCAGAGCCCAGTGGAGTGGCTCCCCGTCTTCGAGAGGCTAGCCTGTAGTCTCCCAGCGGAGGTGACGACGGTGGGATGCCCCTCGGGCAGCCACAGCCTGTCTCTCCGCTTTCCCTAGGGTTGGGGCGTCAGGCCCCCCGAGGTGCGGCGAGGAGAGCCTGGGTCTCTTCCAGGCACGCAGCTTCTGCAGGCTGAGCCTGCACTGCTTGGTCACCAGAACCGTGAGCGTTCACCTCTGACCGCAGATCCGGGCAGGTGCTAGTGGTTTTCTCGGCGGGGTGTTTGCTGGAGGCGGAGAGAGGAGTGGTTTTCCCCGTTGGCTGCCGCTCTGAGGGGAGAAAGCTGGGGAAACCGCCCCAGTAGGGCAGAGACTGCCTGGGTTCACATATTACCCTATCCCTACCCATAGCTGATGAGGCCTTAGAACGGTCCTGATCTGTCTGTGCTGACAAATCAAGGCAGGAGCCCAAAGAGACATGTCGTAGGGACTTTTTCCTGCCTCCCCAAACCCCTGAAGAGCCCACATCTTACAGGCTGGGCCCAGCCCTGGCTCTGTCCTTCATGGTCCAAGCCATGTGCCTATTGCTTTTCCAGAAAAACATTGTGCACAGAGACCTGAAGCTTGGGAACATGGTGCTCAATAAGAGGTAAGATCCTCCTCTGTCGGGATGTGACCTTGCGGCTGCCATGGGCTACGTGGTTCAGCTACCCAGTGCCTTCCAGTGCCCCCTGTTTCCGACTCACAGCAGCCCGCTTCCGCAGGAGAATCCCAGGGACTGGAGGATGGGATGCCTGCTTCTGCCTTTTGCCACGTGGGAATATGGTGCTTGCTTAGAAGGAGGGGAGTCTTAGGGGCCCCTGGGTGGCTCCGTCGGTTGAGCGTCCAACTCCTGATCTCGGCTCAGGTCTTGATCTCAGGGTTGTGAGTTCAGGCTCCACATTCGGTTCCATGCTGGGCATGGAGCCTGCCTAAAAAAAAAAAAAAGAAAAAGAAGAAGGGGAGTCTTAAAGGCCACAGGCCACAGAAAGGGAGCTCTGGGAAGGATTCCAGAGATCCTCCTTGGACCATTCATTTGTGTGTATCTAGTGGGTGCTCAGTAAATGACTATAAAAAATGGAGAAATGAGTGAAGGAATGACAGGTGAGCAAAATGAGTTCTCGTCATAGGTCGGATTCCCAGGAAACAGACTCTGAGATGTGTGTGCAGAAGGTTTACTAAGAAGTGCTCTCGGGATAAAGGGCGGGATTGGGAGGGAGAAGCAGAGCTGTGGTACAGTCACAACGGGCCTCAGCCTGGAAAACTCGAGAGCCAGGGGCCCTTCAGATACCCCAAATTGAGGCAAGGGGGCTCATGGCCCTGGACACCCACTGCGACCAGCCTCAGAACGCGGGCTGTGCCCAGGGCAGGGCGGGCTAGCTGTGGCCAGGGCAGCTTCCTTTGGCTAAGGGGGCTTCCCGGAAAAGGACGCAGCTATGGATGGTCAGAAGCCGTCGCTCTCAGCAGCAGGGAGAAAGTGCCTCGATCTCAGAGGGGGTCTGGGCGGCTCACCCTAGCCCCCTCGGTCCATCAGTGGCAGAGGGAGATCACACGAGGCCCCGGCCACAGGTGGAGGGGCCCCAGCCTTATAGGGGCCCAGGACCGCTGGCAGGCACCACCACGGCCGTAGGCGTGCAGGGCTGGGAAGGGCCCGCTGCCTCCCTTGCTGTCCACGGGGAGAGCCAGCCCCTTGCCACCCCCTCACCCTTGCCACCCCCTCACTGCCAGGTGCTGAAGTGGGTCTGGGGGCTCGCAGATGGCGGGCACCGGTCTCACGGCAGAAGCGGTGTGGTGGTGACTTGTTCCCTCATGTGGCCGCCCACTCAGGAGGGGGCCCGCTGTCCCTGTGAAGTGGCCAGAGCCACAGTGGGCACAAGAGAAGCTGCAGGGAGATAGGCCCCTGGGGACCAGACCCCCCGACACCATGGGGAGGTCACCGCCCTTCTGCCACCTCCAGCCGGCACCAGGGCCACAGATGGACCATCTCCCAGAGCCACCGTGCGATGGGGCGCCGACCAGAAAACACTGGCTGGGGGCCCGGGGAGGAGGGCAGAGACTCTGGCCATCTGAGTCGGTTCCCTGAAGGATGAGTAACGATTTGCCAGCTGGAGAAAGTGAGGCCATGAAAACCTGACCCTGTCACGCTCCACAGGGAGGAGAGAAGGAAGCTGAAGTTCCGGGGCTGCTGGAACCCTTGATGGGCCGAGTGAGGGAGCTGGGGAAGCTCGGGGGTCAGACCTGGCCCGTAGCCCGGCGCTGCCTCTTCATTCCGCTCGAGACCACGGGAGTTCGTTTGATTACGTGTTGGTTGATGGGTTCATCGGCGTATTGAGAGGCTGCTGTGCTAGCAAGCCCTGCTCGGAGCTTCCGTTTCCTCCTCTTGGAGGTGATTAAACCTCCCTGCAGAGACTGGCCTGGGACGCGGCACCGCCTCACGCCTCACGGGGCTGGGCCCGTCGTAAGCGCCCCGCGTTCCGGCAGGCCTGCGGCTCGCTTCCCGGGGGGACGGGGCCTGCTGGGGGTTGGGCGGCTGGCGCGGGCCGGCCGTGAGCCTGGGCCAGGGGCTCAGGTGCTAGAGAACCCGGACCCCGCCAGCCCTGAGGGCGCGCCATCTTATTTGGACCCGCGGCCCCGGCCTTCTGTGGGACGTTGGCCCAGTACCATCCTGCTCTGGACGGCAGGCTCACTGCTCACACACAGGGGGCGTGGTTTTTGACCACGTAAGTGCATCTGGCTGCGGAGCCCACGTCCTCTGCGGCCTTCCCTGCAGCCCCGCGCTGGCTCTGACTGAGCTAACTGAGCAGCCCGAGGGCGCTTGTGGGAGCGCGCACTGGGCCCCTGCGCCGCCGACCACGGAAGTCCCCCGACCCCCAGGCCGCCGCGCTCCCGGGAATGGAGTCGGGAAGTGTGGCTCCTCTCGGGTACCAGCAGTGGAGCTGTAGCGGCTCCGCGTGTGCGCCTGTGTGCAGCTCCGTGCGTGTGCGTGTGCGCCCGGTGTTTTCCTCGGGTTGAGGAGCACCAGTACCTGTCTCACTCCCTGTGTCTTTTTTTTAATTTAATTTTTTTTTTTTAAAGATTTTATTTATTTGACAGAGAGAGACATAGCGAGAGAGGGAACACAAGCAGGGGGAGTGGGAGAGGGAGAAGCAGGCTTCCCGCTGAGCAGGGAGCCCGATGCGGGGCTCGATCCCAGGACCCTGGGATCACGACCTGAGCCGAAGGCAGACGCTTGACTGACTGAGCCACCCAGGCACCCTGAGAGAGAGAATCTTAAGCAGGCTCCATGCCTAGTGCAGAGCCCAACACGAGGCTTGATCTCACCACCCTGAGATCATGACCTGAGCCGAAATCAAGAGTCAGACACTTAACTGACTGAGCCCCCCCAGGCGCCCCTCACTCCCTGTGTCTTGGCTGCATTGCCTCTCATCTGATGATGCCCTTTTTGGGGTCTTGGGGCAGACGGGGGTCCTGGCCGCCCCTCACTTGACTCGTGCTCTGGCAGCAGCGCAGGGGGCCCGAGCGCGAGGGCCGCACCCTGCCCCGTGCGCATCTGCAGGCACACCCCTGCCTTCTCGCTCGCACCCCTGCAGAGTTCGAAGGCCGACCTGGAGGAGCTCCAGCTCCCGCCTGCCCGCCAGGCCGGGGCCCTGACTCTGAGCCGGAGTCTCCTCTGTTGCTCACAGAACGGAGCGGCCTCAGGGGAGGAAACAGGGAGAAGTGTTTGCGAGGCGGCTACCATGACGAGTTCACCCTGCCTGGGAGAAAAGGCAAGGGTGGAAACCTGAAATACCCTTTTGGGGTTATATGAGGTCTGCTGTGGGTTCTTTCTCCTTCCTCCTTTCTTTTTGGATAAGCAAGTTGCACACCAAGTTCCTAGAAAAGGAGAAAAACGCTGGTAGCCCAAAGGGCCGTAACTAAAGAGTGACTCACGCAGAGCTGCCCCCCTTCACCCCCACCGCACTTGCCCCCTGCCGCCAGGACGAGCCTGGGGGGTCCGGGGCTCCCAAGGGTCTGGGCGCCACCCATCGCCTCGGGTGGTAGTGGCAGGGCCGGGGAGCGTGGCCAGGCTTCGGGAGGGCTCGGAGCTGACCGTGTGGTTTCCTGTGGGCCAGCCTCCAGGACCCTCAGCGCCGCGGGCCGGCTCGGCCCCGCCGCGCAGCCACACGCGGTGTCCTTGCGCCCCCCCGGCCCAGGCCCAGGCCCAGAGGGCAGCGAGGCTGGCGGCTTGGCTGGCGGGAGGCCCAGCCCGCGCTGGCCTGCTCGGTCCGGGGCCTGTGGCCGCAGCGTGGCTCCCCTCGCCTGCCGCCTCAGATGGGCTCTTTGCTGGGGTGTCCCATCACTAGCCAGCCATGCCCGCCGTCTGAGGAGGAGAGGGTCATCCGAGCTAGCTGTTAGCAGTCCGTTACTAGTTGCCAGGCCCCCGGCTCTGTGTCTTCCCGGAGGTTGTCTTGTCACATCCTCACACGGCCCTCACACAGCTAATATTCTCCATTTGGCAGATGAGGAAACAGGTTTAATTAGAGATTAAATGAGGTACCCACGGTCCTGCAGCCAAGGGAACGGCCGAGCTGGGCCTGGGGCCCGGGCATCCCAACTCCCGAGCCCCCCAGACCCTGCCCTGAGCGGTCCCCTCCCAGTGTCTCGAGCCTCAGGGAGCCCCTGCAGGATACACTGCCCACTGCGGCAGCTGGCTGAGGTGGGGGGACGGACCGTGGGCCTTCTGCTCTGTGGGGGCCTTGCAGATGCACAGTCCCACATCCAGGGCAGTGACGTGGGCAGCCCAGAGCTGGAGCAATCCACTTCCCGACACCGTGTCCTTCGCCAGACCCTTTGCCTGCACTCTCCAGCCCTGGCTGCCCTGGGGACCGCCAGGCAGATTGCTGTGGCATCTGACAGGGCAGGCCTGTGTGCAGAGTGAGAGTCGAGGTTTCCATTTGGAATGCAGAGGACAGACTAACCTTTGTTTTGTACCAAGCCCTTTGCCAGCAGAATTCCCCGAGATAGCCGAAGGGCTCGCCGAGCCTGTTGGTCACAGCTCCTGGGGAATTCCGTGCTCAGCCCCACACACCCTGTATCTCTGAGCCGACCCCCTCTTCACCCTGGAGACTCGGCCAGTGAGAGGCGGCGGAGGCCCCTCACAGGGCTGCCCTTCCTGCCGTCCTCCGGCTTCTCTGCCCAGCCAGGTGACACACAGTCGGGCAGGTGACCCCTGCCCCGTGTGGGCGGAGAGGTGCCCTTCCTCACTGGCCCTCCCCGACGGGGCCTCTTGGAGGGGCTGCCCACCGCCACCGCCCAGGTGTGGAGTAAGGCATCCTCCCTGGGCCTCTTCCTTCTGTGTACATTGTGAGCTTCATAAAAGGATCTGAGCCCTAAGCTGCTCTCGCCCATGACTCTCAGACCGGGGAGTCTGGGGTCTTCTAGGTCCAAGGAGAGTCTGAAGTCCAAGACAAGGGCTGAGTTAGCTTTGATGGAATTGAAGGGAAATTGAGGGGCTGGGCAGTGCCCAGGGACACGTAGGTACCAACTGGTGGCCGTCCAGAGTGCAGGCTCTGGGGTCAAGCAGACTCAGGCTTGTTTCCTGCTCACTAGCCCCATGACCCTGAGCAGATCCCTTCGTTTTTCTGTACCTAAACTGCATCACCTGTGAGGGGCGAATGCAGACAGTCCACATCTGACCCACAAGCCAGGGCCTGCACCTGCTAAGTGCTCTGTAAGCATTCGTTTTTAGTACTGTCTGGGATGCTGATTGACAATGACCAGGGTGAGACCAAAGGGATCGGTCAGGGGGACAAAAGTGGCCCCCATGGGTGGACTCCAGAGCCCTGCTGACCTTCCTTTTCATTGTGTGTAAATGAGGGAGCCGAACTAGAGCTCCAGTCATTCCAAATGTCCATGTTCCGTGAGGTGGTTTTGGGAAGTCTCCGCAAGTCCTTCTGAGTGCTAAGCTGTGGCCCCGAGGCTCAGCCCGGACAGCAGGTTCCAGGGAGCCCCTCTGCAGCACTCACTGGGTCAGAGTGACTCAGTGCCTCTGATCCCAGGTGCCAAGGGGACAGCTCAGCAGCCGCGATGGCACTGTTCATGCAGCCACGGGGAAGGCGGTGGGGGTCCGGGGAGCAGGAAGGGATGTGGGTGTGAGTCCTTTGCTCCCTGGGCGAGACGGGCGGGGGGGGCAGCTGGGTGCCCGCGGGTACAACACGACGTTTGTTCATTCTCTGCCCCCCTGCTCCCAGGACGCATCGGATAACCATCACCAACTTCTGCCTCGGGAAGCATCTCGTGAGCGAGGGGGACCTGCTGAAGGACCAGAGGGGGAGCCCTGCCTACATCAGCCCAGACGTGCTCAGCGGTACGTGCGGCGAGCCAGACAGCGGGCCCCAAGGGCTCCACATCGCCAGGCCCCACAGTGGCTCATACCTTCAGCAGAGCGTGTGTGTGTCCAGGGGGGAAGCCTGGGCTAGGTGCTGGGGCTTCAGCGGTGGTCCAGACCAGTACTGTGTTCAAAACCTGGGGTCTTCTGGGGGAGGAAGATGGTAATCCTCACTCTGGTGCAGGGTTAATGACTCTCTGAGATTATTTCTGAGTGTGAACAATGGGCACTTGAAGGACTTTCCTGAGGAAGTGACATTTGAGCTGTGATTGCAAAGACAGATAAGGACTCGGGGTGTGACTGGGAGGAGGCAGCAGCTGTGGCTGGGGCTCAGGCAGGGGGCCTGGTTCAAGGGGAGGCAGGCCAGAGGGGTAGGCAGCGGCCAGACCAGCAAGGCCCGAGGGAAGTTCCCTGGAGAACATCATCCCGCCTTTCAAGTGCAAAAGGAAGCCATGAGCAGGTCTTCAAGACCTCTCTCCCTTTGTTCTGTTCCTTCATTAATTCCTTCCTTCCCGCCTCCCTCCCTTCCTTCCTTCCATCTCCCCTCCCTCCCCCCGCCCAAATTTTCCAAGGGCCTGTAGAAGGCCCCGTTCTAGACACTTCAGATACAACAGTGAACAGGCACACAGATCTCCCTGCTTCCGTGAACGCTGAGCTGACTTTCTAGTGGGGATGAAACAGCCAGCACACAAAAAAACCAATTATGTACCGATTAGCCGCTGATCCTATTGCTAAGTACCAGGCACTGTGCTGAGCACATGACCTGCATCACCTGCTTAAGACCCCACAGCTGCCCTGTGAGGTAAAGACTCCAAGTCCCTTTGTTACAGCTAAGAGTAAATCTGAGAACTGAGACTCACGCCTCAGGCAGCCTCCTGCCCAAGCCCATGTTCCCCGGGATGCTTTCTTTCCTTTCCCTGTGTCCTTTGCCAAATTGGGTCTTTCCTTGGGGAACCAAGGGCTTCAGGTCTGCTCCCATCCTTTCCACACGGAGGTTCCAGGATGCCTCTGGGGCCACCATCCCCAGGCCAGCACACTCACCGAAGCATTACCACATGTTGGAGTCACCGTGGCCTCTGCTAGAGGGAGCCAGGTGGTAGGGCTGCGCCCCAACTCCCCAGGGACCAGCCCAGCCTGGACACCCTCCACGAGATTCCTCAAAGCACCAGGCTCCTCCCTCAGCGCAGCCTAAGAGCTGGGGCCTGTGACTGTGCGCGCTGGGGCTGGAAGGGCTGGCTGTGGTCAGGCCGCCTCCGCCATGCCAGGCCAGGGGGCCTCCCCGCGCACGCACTTCCTTCAGCTGCCCGGGGCCTCTCCCTGGCTCTTCCAGCTTCATGTGGGTCTTAGAGGACGAAACAGAGGAACGCACTGCTTCAGAGAGAGTCCTAGACCCGGAGACCCGAGATCCGGCTCTCGTTCTGGCCTTCAGCCCCCTTCTCTGAGCCCCAGTCCCCTCCTGGGTCAAAATCGGACACACTGCTGCCTCCGCACATGGTTAAGAGGTTGAAGCAGGATGATGACTGCAAGTCCCGCCTTGCGGGCTCTGAGTCGAGGCCTGTCACTTCGTTGGTTCTGCGTTCCAAGCACAGCCTCAGGCATCGGGCCCAGAGCTGTGAAAAGGCAAACCGGACCTTGTCCGCGTAGAGTTATAGTCTGGTCAATAACTGTGTCACCTTGGAAAAGTTACTGACTTCTCTGGGCCTCGAGTTTCACATCTATAAAACAGGGATGATAATAGCCCCCGCTTCATAAGGTCCGTGGGATTAAAGAAGGCCTTTAACCTGCTGTCTGGCTAATTAACATTAGCTGGCATCATCATTACAGAAAGGAAGGCTTGAAGTTCAGTCCCCTCGGAAGCCAAAGCTCAGGGCAAGGTCACCTGCCCAGGCAGAGCTCCCGGGGGAGCTTGTCTGCTGGAGGGGGCTGTTCAGCTCCCATCCAGGCCAGGGCAGAAGTCCTGGGGCTCAGGCTGAGGGAGCCCACACCGCCTGCAGCCGCAGCAGCTAAGAGTCGTGGCACGGTGAACTCTGGGGATGACCCCACATGGCAGAGCACGGTCCAGGAGAACGGGGTTGCCCTGGGGCTGACCATGGGGTTGACCATGGGGTCTGCTGCACAAGGCCATCCACACTGCTCTTTGGCCTCGGGGATTGGAAAGGGGCCAGGGTGACACAGCCTTAGAGAAAGCTTAGCAGAGGCTCATCTCCACAAAGTCGCCTACTGTACCGGCCAGGGCAAAAAGCAGCTCACTCCCCCAAGCAGCCCTGTGAGGTCAGCGTCCTGGCCCCACTTCACAGATGAAGTAATAGCCTAGGTCAGGGACGCCCGTGGTACCTTCTGGAGGCACAGGCCAAGGCCTGTAAGGATACTTCCTTGCACATGTGCAGTACACACCCACCTGGTTAAGCTGCTTGACCTTCAGTGGCCCTGGAGAGCCTTCCAGAACCAGTATCTCCTACCCCAAAGGCATTTGTCGCCACCAAGGCGGCTTCAGGACCCATAGGAGGGATCCTGGTTGTCCCAGGAGAGGACACTGAGGTGCCCGGCGGCATCTCTTCCACACCCAAGGGGGGGCTGAGTCACGTTCCAGGATCTGGGCTGCTGCTGAGTCTGCTGTCCCAGGGACTGGGCGGGTGGGGAACTTTGCCAGGCTTGAGGTGTTGTACTGCTTGCCGGTGGGAGGTGGTAGATAATGGCTTGCCCTGAGAGCGGGAGGAGCCGGCTTTCTCCAGTCAACTGTGTGGTGGTGGACGGGTGACATCCCTGTGCCTCATTTTGGAAGAGGAGAGAAAATAATTCATGGAGTTTGGCGGACACGGAAGGAGAGGAGAGCATTTCTTCCAATGCCATCACAGTGTGGCGCTCGCTTAAATGCTCGCTCCCTTCTGCAGAGAAGGGAACAGCACAGAGTTCACTTAAATGGATATTCATTTCTCTAGCAAATACTGGAGTCCTGCTGGGCACCGGGGCTCAGCGCCAAGCAGAGGGCGCCTGCATCCGAGAACTTACCTTCTCGCGGGGGAGACGGGAAGTAAACAGGGGAGGGGATCCTCGCAGACAGGGCGAAGCGCTCTGGGGCGAGGGGATAGGGACTGGGGCAGGGGTGGCCGAGCGGCCCAGAGCCGGTTAGCTCTTGGTTCCACACACACGCTCCTGGCCGCCTGCTCTGGGAGCTGCTGGGCTGGGTGCCGGGGCCGTAGACCCAGGCCCAGGCCCAGCCCCAAGAGCTTGCCGTCTGGCAGAGCGGGGCCAGTATGCCGGTGGGTGGCCTGCACAAGGCCAAGTGTGGTCCCTTCTCCGAGGTGGTCACTCCGAGGTGGGGCATCATCCTGGGAGGCAGTGCGGGGCTCCCGTGGTAGGATTTCAGGCACGGGGCTGGTAAGCTGAGGGAGGCCCGGGGCCTCGCCCTTCCCCGGGCCTGGGCTGAGCGTGCGCGTGTCTGTGTGCCCCACAGGCCGGCCGTACCGGGGCAAGCCGAGCGACATGTGGGCCCTGGGCGTGGTGCTCTTCACCATGCTTTACGGCCAGTTCCCCTTCTACGACAGCATCCCGCAGGAGCTCTTCCGCAAGATCAAGGCCGCGGAGTACACCATCCCTGAGTGAGTCCCACTCCCTGGGGAGGGGCGGGAACAACCGAGTGGCGGGTTGGAGGGAGCCAGCAGCCCCGGGCCCGCCTGAGCCCTCTCCCTCTGCCGCATCAGGGATGGGCGCGTCTCCGAGAACACCGTGTGTCTCATCCGGAAGCTGCTGGTCCTCGACCCCCAGCAGCGCCTCGCTGCCGCCGACGTCCTGGAGGCCCTCAGTGCCATCATTGCGTCCTGGTAAGTGGGCAGGTGCCGGGCTGGGCGGAAGTCTGCGGTCTGCCCGTGCTCAGGCCCTGCCCATCCCACCCAGGATAGTGGCCTGAGGCTGGGCCTGTTTCTTTGCCGGACAGAGTCCGTTTTCCAGGTTTTCCCCACGGTGAGATGGGAAGGGTGCCCCCAGAACTCAGGGTCGAGCGTCCCCCGCGTGCCAGTTGATGCCAGCCATAGGACTGGCCTCAGTTACCTCACTGACTTTCCACCGCAGCCTGTGCGGTAGACATGTGCCCCATTATCGGATGAGAAAACTGAGGCTTGGGAGACAGAGTCATTCATGTCGAGAGGGGGCTGAGCTGGGACCCAGCCCGGTCTGTTGAGTCCAGCCGAGTCTTAGAGCCGTGGGGCTCCGGCTGGCGAGGCCCGGGGAGCCAGCCTGACTCGTCTGCCTCCCCACAGGCAGTCCTTGTCATCGCTGAGTGGGCCTTTGCAAGTGGTTCCTGACATCGACGACCAGATGAGCAATGCAGACAGCTCCCAGGAGGTGAGTTGGGAAGGTCAGAGCAGTCGTCACCCAGTCCCAAGGGACCACAGTCCAGGGATGGCAGGCTGCAAGGCGCCCTCGGTCTGAGTGGCCTGGGGCCTGCCTTGCCTCCTGGCAGCCCCGTAGCCTGCAAGAGGGCTGTGGGGCAGTGGAGGCGGGGGCCCAGCCTGGCCCTCTCTCCGCTTCCTCTTCCTGCCCGAGCCCTGGCTCTGCCCTGCGCTGACTCACTGGGTCTCTCTCAGCCTCTCTGCTCTTCCTTTTCCAGATGATTCATTTTCGCCCAGTTTTCTCTCATTTCCTGCTCCCTGCACTGGAGAAAGTGCTGGGCCTGGCGTGGGGGCAGACCTGGGCGCCCGGCAGCAGCTGCCAGGCGGTCTTAGGGTGCCCCCTGGAGGGCAGGGCTTGGCCAGCAGAGCCGTGGGACAGATGCCCAGAGGACCTTCCCTCCCTGCTCCTGCCCCTCCTCCCCCTGCCCCAGAGCGCCACAGCCAATGCCGGGCACGTGGGAGAGCCTCCTGGCCCTTGACAAGAGAGCTGGCAGGCCCTCCCTCACCTAGATGCCACCCGCAGTGCATCTGTCCGTCCGCACCACAGGCCCGTGTGGCCGTATTCTCCTCTGTTCACAAAAGGAAACTGAGGTTCAGAGAGGTGCAGTGATTTTTCCAGTCACACAGCTCAGACCCCAAGTCTGAGTGCAGAACCCTGCTGTCCCCCGTGATGATCAGCACAGGGACCTGCCCCTTCAGTGTGCTGCCCTCTGCCTGGGCTGCACCAGACCCACCCAGGTGCTGAGCACACTGGCCCCCCGACCCCCGGGGCTCTCGAGAACAGCTCTGAGGGGAGATTACTGCCCCTCTTCACAGCTCAGGAAGCTAAGGCTTCCAAGGTCATGAGACCTCCCCCAAGGTCAGTGGGTTAGTTAGCTGGAGATCCGCTCAGATCCCAGGCCTGGGCTTCAGCTGGAGCGACCCCTGGGCCAGGCTGCAGGCGAGGTCCAGGCTGGCGGGAGGGCTTCGGGGATCCACCCTGTGGGCCCCCCCGGGAGGGCGGCCTCTGGAGCCAGGTCACCTAACACTGGTTCCCTGCTCTTCTCTCTGACCCCCCTCTCTCCCCCTCTCTCCCCTCCTCTCTCCCCTCCTCTCTCCCTCTCTCCCCCCCTCTCCCTCCCTCCCTCTCTCCCTCTCTCTCTCTCTGCCTGTCTCTGGCTTTGCCCGAAGGCCAAGGTGACAGAGGAGTGCTCCCAGTACGAGTTCGAGAACTACATGCGGCAGCAGCTGCTGCTGGCCGAGGAGAAGAGCTCCGTACACGAGGCCCGGAGCTGGGCGCCCAAGCGGCAGTTCGGCAGCGTGCCCCCCGTGCGGCGGCTGGGCCACGACGCGCAGCCCATGAACCCCCTGGACGCGGCCATCCTGGCGCAGCGCTACCTGCGCAAGTAGCCCCCTGGCCCGGGTGCCGGCCCCACCCGCCACCTCTCCCCAGCCCCCAGCCAGCGGCCCGAAGCCCCCCGCGCCCCCCACCGGCTGCGACAACGGGGACGGGGCCGGGACAGCGCAGGTCACACATGGGGTCAGCAGAAGTACCACAAAGCTACCTTGGGAATGATCGCTTGATTGTTTGGTTTTTTAATCTGAGAAGCCTAGATAACTAATCTGCTTTTAATCATGACGTTTTAATCTACCTCTGGCTCTTTAACCATGCTGTCTCTGGACTGAGTGAGGGAGGAGGAGGGGGCCCGCCCGCCCAGGGCAGCGCCCCCGCCCCCCAGACAGATAAGCTGAACCCGCAGCTCGCTGCTGGCTCCCAAAATGAACGCCCACCCCCCACGGCCCTCCCAGGCCCCGTCCCAGGCTGTGTCTGTCCCTCCCCTTCTGACCCCAGGCCCCTCAGTCCAAGCTTTGGAAAACTTCACCTCATCGTAAGCAGAATTCAAATATATTTATTTTTGTACTGAAACCAACTTCTCTCCCATCTCTAGGTGGCTCGGCCCGTGGCCACTCCCTGCCCCCACCCCCACTGACCTGGCTGGACAGCAGGGAGCCCACCGCCCACAGATGGGCCCCCTCCTCGCCCCCAGCCTCAGAAGCCCCTTCTTGCCGGCCCCTCCACCTCCAACCCACCAGTCCCTCCTGTTTCTGGTGATGGGGAGGCCTTTCTAGACTTGGTTCTCTTTCTCCCATCTCAGTAGCTTCTCTGAGGTGCTGTACCCTCGCATTAACCCTGGTTTCTTTCTGCACCCCGCACCGTGGTACCGAGGTGACGTTGACACAGATGTGAAAGGGGTGCCTGGTGGGCGGGCGGGGAGGGGAGCGCTGGGCCGACCGTGAACAGGTGGGCCCTGCTCGCACGCCCTCTTGTTGCTCCCCGCACCCCTCTGTGTTCACAGAATGGTGGGGGCATCTCCCCTCCCGTTCTTGCCTCATAATGGATGTGGGGTCTCTCCCAGCAGACCCTGGCCAGGGCCCTTCATCGGGGCTGTGGGGCTCGCGGGGAGAGCTGTAGGGACTGGGGGGGGGGGTATGCCTGGCTTGAGAACAGCCCTGCTGCCCTTTTTGAGCCGAGATTTTGAAGTGGATGCCCGTCTTGCCAGAAACACTGTTCTCACCAGAATGCCCTTCCCTCCCACTCTCCCTCACTGGACTTGGCCTTGCCCGGTGCCAAGCAAAGACTCTTCCTCTGGCCTATCCCCCCAGGCCCCCCTGGAAAGGCTGAGTGTTCCCCTCCAGGCAGCCCTGGGCCTTGAGGCCCTTCCTGTTCTTGCTCCCCAGTGGGGAGGTGACCGAGGCCTGTGTGACCTTGTTTCCCAGAGTGTGAGCTGCCCCCTCCCCAAAAGCTGACTCACTGTGAGTGACTTGGGCAAGTTCCCAAACCTCCTTGTGCCTCAGTTTCCCCATCTGGAAAAAATGGGGCCACCTCTTGCCAGCAGTAGCAGGGCCGCCCATGCCCCTTCCTCCCCATGCCCCCATCCCAGCACTTGGGCGCCTCATGCCTCTGCCTCAGTGGGTCTGCGGGAGCCCGCCTGAGCCCAGCACTTACTCCCCCTGAGCACCAAGCTCTGCCTCCATCAGCGGCCAGCCGCTGAGAGCCAGGGTGTTGTGCTGCGGGGGCGGGGGATGTCCTCTTTTCTATATTTATTTCAAAAAGAAGTCTCCCAAGGGAGTAGAAATGCAGTCTGGCCTAGGGCTCCCAGCCCCTGTGACTGTCCTCCCGGGAGGGTCTCAGCCGAGACCCTCTGGGCCTGCTTGCCACAGGGGGGCTTTCTCCTCCTTTTCAAAGCAATACGCTCGGGGGTCTGCAGAGCCTTATCAGACAGGCTGGGCCCTCCAAGGTCGGCCCCTGCGTCTGATTACGTTTGTGGCAAAGCAAATGAGAGGAGGTTGGGCCTGCCCTCCCTGGGTGTCACACACTGAGAGGTCCTGTTGTAAAGAAACAGAAAAAGTCACAAAAAAGTTTGTATAAAGACATATTTTTGTACTACATGGGGACTTTTCCTGCATGTCAGCAATAAAACTTCCTGACCTGGAGCCCGTGTGGCCTGTACGTCTGCCGTTCTTGTCGTCCTCCCCGTGTCCCTGTCCCTCATGCCCCAGCCAGGCAGGGCAGGCTTCCTGCAGCTCTCGGCTCTGCCCCCCTCGGACAGCCCCCCGCCCCGCAGCCGCTTGGTGGAGGAGGGGACAGAACTACCCCGCATTCTCCTGACCCATTAGTGCACCACCCCCA